TAGAGACTTTTACAAAAATAAGTTTCAGCTCTGACGATGTCCATCATATGATGGACGAAAGCTCATCCCGTTTACACCCGAAACGAGAAAGGTCTCGTGGACTGCGTCAACCTGAACGTCGTATAAAAGCCAAACGGCGGAATTCAGTCCTCTTCTCGTGAGAACGAATTACGAATCTCTTCTTCGTGCACTTTCATACGAAATGAAAGCCCCCCAACGTATCTTAAAGTGCGTAGTCTCATCTACTTAATATCCTGAAGGTATAAAATTTCATTAAGACAAAAAAATTAATTTGATGCTTTTTAATATTACATCGAGTCAATTAGATGCTTTGGATAAGTTTATAATATGATGGACGAAAGCACATCGCGTATTCACCCGGAACGAGGGAGGTCTCGTGGACTGTGTCAACCTGAAATTCGTATTAAGGCCAAACGGCTACAGTACAACGGGATTCAGCCGACGCCTTCTTGTGAGATCAAACTACAAATATCTACTTATGCACTTTAATAAGAAATGAAGATCTTTCCAAAAATCCTAATTTTTTGTGTGATTTCTCGACAGTATTCATTTAGATACGAAGAGGAACTGGGGTTCGATGAATCTCTTTAGATAACATTGTTGGGAGGACTTATCTTTAGTATGAAAGTGCATGAAGAAGAAATGTGTAGGTCGTTGTCACCAGAAGAGGACAGATGAATCCCGTTGTACTGCAACCGTCTGACTTTTATAATACGTTCAGGTTGACACAGTCCAGGAGGCCTCATCCCTCGTTTCGGGTGAAAACTGGCTGAGCTTTCGTCCATCTTTCGATGGACATCATCAGAGCCAAGTCTCATTCTTGTAAAAGTCTCACGTCAACACTAGGGCAAGAAGACTATCCGGCTCTATCTTACCTCTTATATAGACTCAATTAAGCCAAAAGAAAATTAAAAGCATAGATAGATATAAAGTGGTTTGGCTAATTATATTTCATACTGGTCCTGCTACTTTTGCTCGAGTGTTAGCATTTATACGCAATACCGGACCGAGACTGCGTAAGTCCGTATGGTTGAGTTAATGAAATATGAGCTTGTGAGCATGTAAGTCAAGTTACGAAACCACTTTCCTTGAGGAGTTAAACGTTAATGACCCTAGACTGAGAGGTTATGACAAGTGGTTTGGTAACGACTTACATGCTTACAAGCTCATATTTCATTTAAACAACCATACTTGCTTACAGACTTACGCAGTCTCGGTCAGGGCTTTCTCTTGTATCATTAGGCCTTGATGATCAGAACCTGATATTTTCCTTTTGATAACTCTGATTTAGGACCGGTATTGCGTATAAATGCTAACACAAACTGGAGCAAAAGTAGCAGGACCAGTATGAAAGATAATTAGCCAAACCACTCTATATCTATCTATCTGGGTTTTTAATTTTGTTCAGTCTTAAATGAGTCATCTTGATCTAGTGGTAACGTGACACTTTTACAGGAATGAGACACAGCTCTGATAATGTCCATCATATGATGGACGAAGTCTCAGCCAGTTTCCACCCGAAACGAGGGGGGAGGCCTCGTGGACTGCGTCAACCTGAACGCCGTATTAAGTCAAACGGCTGCAGTACGGGATTCATCCGTCCTTTTCTGGTGAGAACGACCTACGAATCTCTTCTTTATGCACTTTCATACGAAACAAAGTATCTAGTAATGGATAAAATCCAACCCACTTTGTTCAACTTATCGTTCCAGAGCTCTATGCTGGTTACTATTAAGTTGCTCGTGATCAAACTCCTAAATATTCCTATCTCCACTCTGTTGTCTGGTCATACAGTTCATGAATTCAACTAAATTTTCCTTACAATGCGACCAAAATGCATAGTGGTCACAAGGCATTCAATAAACACTCTTGCCTGCAGCGGTGACTTCTCTAATTACTTTTCCTATTTACTCATGTATACATTAGCGAAAAAAAAGATAAAAGAAACTACAA